CCACTCCCCATATAAAACTACTTCCCGGACACAAAACAAGAACAAAATCGTGCCTAGAACCGTGTTGAAAATGTAGACTGACGGGGGACTTGTCAATGGGGATGTTTGCCAGGTAATGAAGGAACCCTTCCAATTGCCGGGGGTTGTTCTATTCTGTGTCTGCTCCATGCTGCCTTGAGGCACCTTCTTGTCTATGCTAGACTTTGTTATAGAGATCTGCTTCTGGGGAAAATAAGCAGCAGTTAGAGGATATGGAGGTTCTTTGGGCTGCAAAGGGAAACCAAACTGAGTTGAGGAAATAGCCTCTACAAAGCTTCAATATAAAAGCATATATCTAGTGTAGAGAAGGAAAAAAGAAAAAAAAGAAAAGAAAAAAAAAGGCTTTCTTCGTGTTCTCTGTGCTGCAGTTTTGGTTCTCTCACCTTTTCTGGTGCAGGTTTAGGTTTTTCAGGTTCTTTGGGCTGCAAAAGGAAACCAAACTGAGTTGAGGAAATAGCCTTTACAAAGCTTCAATATAAGAACATATATCTAGTTTAGAGAGAGAAAAAAAAAGGCCTTTCTTCATGTTCTCTGTCCTGAAGTTTTGGTTCTCTCACCTTTTCTGCTGGATATGTTATTCTGCGTGTTTTTTCCCTTGTATAATATTCGTCAGCGGAAGTATCCCTAAAGACACTGATGGGACCTGATTGCTGTTGTGGTCTGTGTTCTCTTTGATATGTACCAGACTGTAATTGAACTTCAGTCTGGGGTTTGGATGCTACATTGACAGAGGAAGAAGCCTGTCTGGATAACTGGTTATGAAGTATAACATCTGTATCTCGTCTGGACTGGCTCGAACCACATTGTAGTTTATAAAGTATTTGTGGTTCACAACGCATTTGTAAACTCTGGACCTGAAAGAAATATGTCCCAAAAAATGAGCAAGTTTCCAAAGCCTATACTGACAAAAAATGAAGCAAAGTTTTGAGTGTTTGACCTGTGCAAACTATCAGCACATTACAAAATTTTGATTTTAAGTTTCTATAGGAAAAGTGTCATTAGAAAGGACTGTAATAATGTGAATGACAGGCATATTATTCACATTACTACAGAGGTTCCTTGTCATATTTTCCAATAGAAAAAAGTAGAGTGGTTCACTAGCTATTGGAGCGAATCGAGAGCATTTTTTTACCCGGTGATGGGCTGGTTCCCTGTCTGTGTCACTGGTTACTCTAAATTGTGGTTCAACAATAAGCGTTCTTAGGAACTCCTGGTCATTAGCTGAAAATTCAGGTGGAAACGCATTGTGATCATTATTACTAAGGGAATTTGCAAGCAAAAGATCCCTTGCCCGCTCAAAATAGTCCCCATTTTCTGGTGGCCGAGTATCTTCCTGCATTTGGAACAATAAATAAGTGTTGGTTATTATTTTTTCATCTAATATATATAGTGAATTTGGGGAGGGGAAAATCAAACCAAGGACCCTCGTGTGCAGAGTGAACACTCTACACGCCCTTTGCAGCAAGGGTTGGTGTGGGAACCAAATTAAATCAGAACCCTAGGTCAAGTAATTCCTTCCTTTTGGGGATTATTTGACCTAATTGGGAATTACTAAACCTAATTGGGGGTTATTCAATTTAATTGGGGGTTATCCAATTAAATTGAGAAATACCTAACGGTGATGGGCTGGTTCCCTGTCTGTGTCACTGGTTACTCTAAATTGTGGTTCAACAATAAGCGTTCTTAGGAACTCCTGGTCATTAGCTGAAAATTCAGGTGGAAACGCATTGTGATCATTATTACTAAGGGAATTTGCAAGCAAAAGATCCCTTGCCCGCTCAAAATAGTCCCCATTTTCTGGTGGCCGAGTATCTTCCTGCATTTGGAACAATAAATAAGTGTTGGTTATTATTTTTTCATCTAATATATATAGTGAATTTGGGGAGGGGAAAATCAAACCAAGGACCCTCGTGTGCAGAGTGAACACTCTACACGCCCTTTGCAGCAAGGGTTGGTTTATTGGATGTCTCTTTTTCAGGAAATTAGAGTCTCACCATATTCATGTCATTCACTGGTTGATATTCGACATCAGATGCATTGTGAGTTTCACCTTCATCACAGGTTGTTGCAACATCAGCATTTTTCACATTTTTCTTTAAGCGACAGAGAACGAAGTCCCTCTGCATATAATTATGTTGGAAAACCAATTATGTAATGAAAGTAGTAATCTACAAAACAATATTCACAAAACAAACCAATTTGGCTCAAAGGGGTTTCGATTTCAAGCCATCCATTGGTTTCCAAATCAAAACCCCTTCGAGCTGAAAATTAGTAATCCATTATTACTGAATAATATCTATAGCACAACATGCATATCATATTGTAAAAGAGGAGCATTGTGTTAATGTGACTGGAAAACAAAAACCATAAAACTAAAAAGAAAAATAAAAGGAAAGAGAATGATGACCTGAGCATTAGGATTGTCATCAGGGATATAATACTCATGCATGACCCAGTTGGTCTTTTCGGAATTACGAACACGACCTCTGTAAAAGGTCAGAATCCTCTTTCTACCGATGACACTTCTGTTGTCTCGAGCCTTGATCGGATGTTCTCTGCCTGTGATCTTCCAAAAGCCTTCCTGTGTGGTCCTGTTTTTTTTCTGCTTGTTGTACTCTGGTCGACTGAAGAAGAACCAATTCTCATCATCCGACTTAAGCAACGATCTCTCTGCATAAACATAAAACACAACATTGGATTTGACC